GAGTCGCGACTGCGACCGGCGTTAGTCTGAACTTTTTCGCGACAATGCCTGCGTACTTTCCGGCGTGTAGGTAGAGCGCTGAGTCGTCTTCGACGATGTTTAGCCCCAGGTATTGGCTCACGGTGTCTGACATCGTGAGTGTTAAATCCCTCCTCAGCTCCCCTTCGAACCAGGTGGTGACGTCGGTAGTGGAGCCGACATAAAGTAGATCATCGACGTAGACGATGAGTAGGACGAAATCCCCCCCCTTCTGTAGTCGGTACATGCCTTGATCGTGCGGCAGCTGCAGGAAACCGATCCTGACGAGGCGGTCGTGGAGGTGCTGCTGCCAGAGCCGCGGGGCTTGTTTAATTCCGTAGAGGGATTTCATCAGCTGGCACACCTTTGTGGGATCGTCGATGAATCCGTGGGGCTGTTCGACGAAGATTTCGGCGTCCACAGGTGCATACACGAAGGCGTTGGCAACATCGATCTGGCGCAGTGGTAGCTTTTTCGTGGCCGCGACGACAAGCAAAATCCGCAGGGAAGTGTGTCAGGAAACTGGGGCGAATGTCTCCGTGTATTCGGTTCCGCTCGAATCCTCGTACGACCCAACGAGCTTTGAAGCGGTCGATGGAGCCGTCCGCATTGGTCTTGATGCGGTACACCCATTTCCCCGAGAGCACATTTTTCCCGTTGGGTTTTGTCGCAGATACCAGCTTCCACGTATTTCGGTCTTGCAGGGCCTTCAGTTCCTTTTCCATTGCTTCCTTCCATTTTGCCTTGTGTTCCCCCCCCAGAGCCTGCGACAGAGTCGATGGCTCGCGTGGTGACGGCGGTGGCGGGCTCTGGACGGCGACCCATAGTCCAAGTATCTGCAGGCCCGTGGGTGTGTGTCGAGGGGAATTGGTATTCTCGGGATAAGCTGCTTCGTCACCATCTTCGGGATCAGGTAAGAAATTTGGTCCAATGCGTTCAGAGACATTTGTGTCGACCTGTTGAGGTGTGACGTAACCCTGGTCAGCGAAGTGGTAATAGGTGTCGAGGTTGTTACTATCGAGGGGATTGTTGTCGTCGAGTGGAACGGGCACGGAGCAGTAAGGGAGTGGTCGGCAGCTTCCGAGGCTCCAGGTACGTTTTCTTCTGCTGCGTCAGCTTCGGCAGCACGGTCGGCGAAGGACCGATTACCTTCGAAGCCATCAGTGGGGTCGTCTGTGGTGGCAATGTTGTCCAGGTAATGTTGCAGCGTCAGTCGCTCGTAGAAAATCACATCATGTGAGGCCACGGTGGTTTTGTCCTGAATGTCGAGAAGTTTCCATGCTTGGAAATGTTTTGCGATGCCGAGGTGTAGTCCCCACCCTGCTCGTTGAGAGAATCGACCTGCTCGGGCTGTGTGGGGTCTGTACTGTACCATGCAGCCGAAGACTCAAAGTAATTTTGTGCTGCCCTATTTTCCTGTCCACAGCAGGTGCGGTGATGCGCTGTTGGGAAGTGATGACGAGGACAGGAAATTGTGCACGTGGACTGCATGCGTCATCGCGTCAGGCCAAAGTGTGTTGGGCAGTCTCATCCCCAGGAGCAGCTTCCGCATCGTCGTCTGCAAAGTTCGGTTCATCCTCTCTGCGACCCCCTGCTGCTAGTGAGCGTAGGGTAGGGACACCAGGCGTCTGATACCTCTATCTGCCAAGTAGTTCCTGAATCGTTGTGACTGGTACTCCAGTGCTCCGTCTGACTGGAAGTTCTTGAGTTGCGAGCCCGATTCTTGTTCGGCGATGGGCAGCCATGCCGTGAAGGCTTCGAAGGCTTGATCGCGTGTCTTGAGGTTGTAGTGCCAGACGTATCGTATTGATGCGTCGATGAACGTTATAACATAGTTGTACTCTACTTCTCTGTCGTCTCGAGGCATATTTAAGATGTCGCTGTAGACCTTTTCCATCGGTGTGTATGCACGTGCACTTGGATTATGGTGCGACGAAAAAGGTTGGTGGGGAAGATCGGCTTCAGGGCACGTAAGGCATCGTGCGCGGGGTCGTCAAAGTTCCTGGCCGCTCGTTGTGAGAAGAGCGTTCTTTTCTAACACTCCGGCTTGTATGGTTTGGAGCACGGTGTTGTTTGCAGGATGCCCGAGGCGTTGATGCCAGATGTCGTCGGGAGCGCGATGGCCGGGTGAGCGCTGGTACATGTCGATGTTGGAGAAGAATGCAACGACCGTTGCAGGACTGCGACAGATTCCTCGGGTGATGGGTATGAGTTGATCTACTTCGGATGACGGTCCTCGAATTGCTGGTGATGGCGTACGGCTGGGTCCTGCTGCTGCTACTACAGGTGATGTTCTGTGAGGGATGCTTGGTGGTACTTGTCGTTCTTGTCAGATAACTGCTAATGCTCGTGTTCTTTCTGCTGAAGGGATGGTGTTGGAGTACCAGAAGCTGTCTGGATTAAACTCAGGGTCAAGATCCGGTGGGTGCGTCCAAGCGGCAAACGACACGATGCCATCGCTGTCGGCAGTGCCGCGGTCGGGGACGAAATCCAGCACGAAGACGCCCGACTTGAGGAGAGCGCGACCGATGAAAAGGCCGCCCTTCTCGTGGTAAAGGCAAAACTCGTTGTCGTCCGAGTCGCATTCCAGGTGAATCCCCTTCGCCATTAACTGGCTAATGCTCAGTAGATTGTATCCCAAGTTGTCAACGATGAGCACTTTGTTGAGTTGTAGTATGACGTTTGTGTCCATTCACTGAAGCTGAACGACACCTTGTCTGTTTTTTTTCACGTTCTCGTTGTTGGCGACGGTGATGATGACATCGAGGTTGAGACGTCGCTCTCGTTGCACAAAGCACCCGGAAGAACACATATGTTGACCGCAGCAGCTGTCCAAGAACCAGGTGTTTCGCCCTGTGGGTACGGCGTTGGCGACTGCAGCGTACGTCGGATTGACCTGGAGACCTTGTGAGCGTGGCGGTGGTAGTTCTTTTTCGTCTGGAGCATAAGTGGGTGGTGACTCGGGTCTGCAGCTGTCGATCCGTACCATGCAGTTGATGATGTTTGGTGTGTCTCGTGCAGGTGTAGAGGAGCGGCTTGGCGGATTTTCTTGAGTGGAGGCGACTTGCGGATCTGCTGGACGATAAACTCGAGGGCGCGTGCAGTTAATCTTGGAGTGTCCGGATGTCTGACAATTGTGGTAGAACGGTGGCACGATGGTGAGTCCTCTGGCGTCGTATCGATTCTGCTTATCACGTCGGTTATAGTTGTGGTCGTTTCTTCGTTGAGTATAGAAGACTAACGGTTGCTGCTTGTTTCTTGGTTGTCTTTCTTCAAACAGGTCCATCTCCTGTTGTTCAGCATGACTCGGCGCAGAGGTGCATTTCGGAGATTCGTCCGTGGGCGCGAAGGAGTGAGCGCGTGGTTCTCCATTCTGGCCCGAGCCCGGCGAGGACAAGTGTCACGAAGCTTTCTTCAGTGATTGTTCCTCCGCACCGAAGCAGGCGGTCGCGGAGTGTCTGGGAGCAACTCATATACTGCATCGCCTTTTCCCTGGTCTTCATTTGTATTGTTGTTAACTGCTGCATGAGTCTGCTTTGTGTTACGCTGTCGTTTGCTTGATAGAGGCACTTCAGATGATGCCAGGCGAGCTCTGCAGAGTTTCCGTGGTTCCGATACGTTCTGATGCTTTGTTGCTCTTGTGGTGACAGGTTTCGCAGGAGAACTGTGTACGCCAGCAGCGACTGATAAGTGAAGATTTCCTGCTCCTTTGCAGTGCCATTACTTGGAAATGGCAGGGACCCGTTGAAGTATCCCAAGAGGTGTGCGGCCTCCATCAGCAGCTCGAACTCAAAGCTCCAGGTAAAGAAGTCGTGCCCGTTGAATGGTGAAGATGTCTGCAATTTGATCACATGTGGAAACTGCCCTTGGAGACTTAATATCTCGTTTGGTGTTTGTTGTGATGCAGCTGCTGTTGGTTGGGCACGGGGCAGCATGAAGTCGAACGTCCCCGGTGAAGAGTGATAAGGCACAAAGGTAGGCGCCTGATTGTGCCGCCCGAATGATGAGTTGTCGAGGCTCATTGGTGCTAATCCCATATTTCCCCCGTTGCTCTGTGTTGAATGCGCAGGTGTCCTTGTCTGCTGCTGCGAGTCAAAGTGCGACATGAAGCTGAAGAACCTTTCCATAAGGTTTGGGTCCACGCCTGAAGAGGGTGAAGGGGTCACCATTTCTGGTACCCTTCCTGTTGTTTCTTCAGCAGCGCCGGTCTCAGTTTGTAGTCCTGAAGTGTGTAGTCCAGAGATGCCGGGTTGAGTGTCTTGGCCACTGGGTGAGCCCGTAGAAGACTTCTTGCCCTTATTGTCCATGACTTGTAATCGATGAAGTTCTGATGTGCTGAATGTAGATAGAATGTCGTTGATGGGAGTTTGGTTTCTGACCAGCTCTCATACCATGTTGGGCTGAGAAAATAGCCCTTAGGATCTTTCTAGAGACTAAGTCCCACTTGTACAAGATGCTTGAGTAGTGCAGCAGAAGTGTTGAGTAGTTGAACCCTTGCACTATTATGTGAGAGCAAGTGATTAATTAAAAGAAACAAGCATACAGGAATATATAGAGAGTTGGAAATAGAGCTGTTGTAGAATACAGTTGAAGGAATGGTTATCGAGTCCCACAGCGACTCGATCGTCGGTTCGGTTACCATCCTTGCAGTCGTAACGGTCAGTCGCAACCTCCAGTTGCGACCCTTCAAGTCCCTTCGTCCTTTCGTATTCTTTCGTCCAACCTCCTCGTGTAACCTTCGTTGACTCGCGTACTCGATAAGACTTTCCTCGAGTGTAGCGTTACACTTCAGAAACGCTCAAGTCCTCAAGGTATTTCCAACAAGCGCGACAACAAGGACAGATGACCGTCCCGGTATTACAGTACGGGTGCTTACCCGAGTTGTGCTTATTGAGTCGTAAAGGGAATGTACCCCTTGAAGTGCACAGTTAGATGGTAGACTCTTCATATTTTCTTGTATTATTATACAATACATTGTATCTCATTGCTGTAATCATTTACTTATTCTCACATGCCAGTACAAGGGTTCAACTCAGACTTCCGCTGTGCTAACAAACAGTTCCTCTACTCAGTGGCTAGTCTCTGCCAGAAGATCCTAGGGCTTTTCTCAGCTCAACACTCGGCATGTTTTCAATAGAGGAGTGCGAAACTTCAGGGAGGGGGGGTGGGGGGTGGCTGAATGTAATCGGGGAGGGCCATATGGCTTGTTTCATAAAACGCCCACTCGGCAGCTGGTACAGACCACTGCATTCCTACCTGCCCTGCTCATGGCTACCTTGCCAATTGTTTGCACCATGATTCGCATCTGGCAAGGCTATGGGCGTAACTACCCCATGCTGCTGTTGCTCCACTCGGCACACCAACCGCCCGAGCAACCCTTGACACTCCCTGGACAGCAGACGGAACTGTTCAAGGCTCAAACCATCCAAGCGCCGAGAGTTGGGGGCGTGCATTGTTCTGTGTTCTTCTGCTCCTGTTCCCATGGGGCTGGGATCAGATGGACAACAGTCAGCTGATATCTGCAACACCTGTTGCAGTATGGGGTCTGTGAGAGTGCTCTCAAGGGCTGTACTAGAGATGCTCGAGATGGGGGCTGAGGGGGAGCAGGTGGGGAAGTTGAGTGGTTGAGAGTGGGAGTGAGAGCGGGGGGAGGTGGGTGGGGTGTGAGGGGAGGCGGAGTGGAAGATGACGCGCGAGAGGCGCTGCTTGGCCTGAGCGCAGCGCAGCTTGCGCATCTCCCCCAGCCCCTCCACCACCAGGCGGTACACCACCACCCGCCTCCGCTGCCCCGTGCGCCACGCCCGCGATATTGCCTGCACAGAAGGCGTGGAGGGAGCAGAGGCGGAGGGAAGAACGATGTGGGGTAGTGGGCACATGCACACACGGATGTACATGCACATGCACACTTGGATGTACATGCACATGCACACTCGGATGTACATGCACACGCACACTCGGATGCACACGCACACATAGATGCGCATCCACACAGTTGGACAGGGAGCGGACTTCCCACCCAGCCAGACCCGTCCAACCATGCACAGCAAGGCGACTGCACGATCCCATCAACTCCACATTCTCTCGCCAGCGCCCCGCAGAACCCCTCCATCAGTCACCATCCCTTTCTTTCCGCACGTATTCCCCTCCCCCACAACACCCCCGTCACTGCCTGTGCAGCCACGGGGCCAGGGCCACGCACCTGGTGGTCAGCAGCGGGGTTCCACTGGGGTTCCAGCATCACCACGCGCGACACCGCCGTCAGGTCAATGCCCAGCCCACACGCCCGCACCGCTGCCACCAGCACGTGCGAGTGCGCCTGTGCCTGCACCAGTTGCTGGTCCTCTGCCTCTGCCTGCGCCTTGCCCTTCCCCTCGTGCGCCTGAGCAGGGGGCGCTTTGAAGAGGGCAAACGTGTCGGCGCGCTCAGCTGCAGACGTGGTGCCATCTACCCGCCACACCTCGCGGTCCATCGTCCAGCCCCTGACAAAACGGTGAGGGCATGGCGGGCGAAGAAGGGGGAGGGTGGAGTTCCCGGGGAGAAATTCCAGAGGAAGTGGGGGCCGTGGGGGGGTTGGAGAGAGTGCGGCTCCAGCAGGTGGAGCGTAGAGGGTCATGTGGTGCAATGAGAAACTTGTGCCAGCATCTGAGCAGTGGGCAAGGTGGGAGAAAGGGAGACCATGCCACCGGGAATGCTGCAGTCAGAAGCAGCAAGGGGAGTGGGGGCCGGGAGGAAAGGGGTAGGGAAGGAGGGGCGGGTGGGAGGGAGGAAGGGTGGGTGGGGGCAGAGAAAGGGGAGGAGGGGATACAGGGCGTTTGGCGTACATGGCACAGCAGATGGCGTGGGCGGCGAGCGTGAGGTGCATGTGCTCCTCCGCAAACACCACCACCTTCTCCCCACACTCCACCGCCCCCCTCACCACCGCCACCAGCGCCCTCAGCTTTGGGGACAGCTCCACCCTCCTGTCCTCCTCCACGCCCTTCCACTGCTCCTCCGCTGCACTGCCCACACCCACCCTCGCCCCCTTCCCCTCCCCCCCAACCCCCTCTGCTGCCCTTCTGCCCAGTCCCACGTCCATCCCTCGGCCCCTCCTCCCTCCACCCATGCTCCTGCCCCAAGCGTCACCCCACAGCCCACTATCACCCCCCCTACCAATGCCTGCCCTTGCACCACTTGCTGGAACCCCACTCTGCTGCGCGGTGCAGGGGGTGGTGCATACATCAACGGTGGGAGAGGAGGGGAAGGGGGGAAGGGGGCTTTGGGAGAGCAGGGCCTGCTGCAGGTGGGGGTAGCCGCGGAGGCCCTTGTTGAGCTTGGCGGCAAAGGCACAGGGGTGCACGGACAGGGATCCTAGCAGCTTCAGGTCTATCATCGACACCTGCACGCCCCCCCCACCTCCTTCCCCCCCCTGCTGCCCCTCTGCCCCTCCCCTGTCTGCTTCAAGCCCCCATGGAGACGCCGGTTGCGGGGTGTCAGCATGGGTGGCACGGGAGTGGGCGAGGAAGAGGGAGAAGAGGTGGCGCTGCAGTGGCGTGGGGTGCAGCACGATGGTCACATCCACCAGCTCTGCTCACACACAAGAGAGATCAGTGGGGGGAAACGGTTGGGAAGAGGCGAGAGGAGAAATACAAGGAGAGGATGAGCTGACCCATGCCATCCTAACCAATCCGCACGGACGCATGCAACGCTTACTGCACCACACGATTCAATGTCTACTGCAATAATGCGTGCCACCTTTTTTGTTCTGAAGGGTGCATGTCACGCCCACTACAATGATGGGGGCCGTGATTATCACAGAAGTGCTGCATGGCATTCTGTTTTCGGAGATATGCCGCAGTGCCTCATGCCATGCGCAGTGCCTCATGCCATGCGCAGTGCCTCATGCCATGCGCAGTGCCTCATGCCATGCGCAGTGCAGTACAAGGTCGAGAAGGCCAGCTTCATGCTTCACCAGCCAGACGGTGGAGAAAAGTCAGGTCGGGTTGGGTGGATCAGTGATGGCTGTTGGATTGGTTGGATGCGGGATTTTCACAAACAGGAGCTGAAAGTAGAAAGAACAGGAAGAAGAAACGAAAGGAGAGGAAGGGATTACGGTAGACGGACATGAGAAAGAGAATGGGGGAGCGGGGAGTGTGACCTTTGAGGTGGGCGTGCAGCACGTTGCCATCCACCTGCACCATGTGCTGCATGAGCCACCGCAGCTCCCGCACCTTACTCGGTGGAAACTCCCCCTCCAACACCACTGTCTCCTCCTCTTCCTGCTCTCCCTCCTCTTCTTTCCATCCCCTTCCTCCCCTGCTGCCCCTTTCTAACTTCCCTCCCCCTCGTTCCCTTCGTCCCTTCCCCTCACCCTCTGCTGCTTCATCTGCACCATCCTCTTCCACTCCTCCCCGTTTCCCCCCCCCCCCCCCCTTGCCTGCCACCGGCGCTCACCGGCACGTTGAAAGTGCAAATGAATGCCGCACGGGCCTGCGCCCTCTCCCTCCTCTCCCTTGCGCTCAGCTCCCACTGCATCTGCGCTCCCTCACTCAACCCCTCCAACCCCTCCAAGCCCTCCCTTTCATCCCCACTCTGCTCCTCCTCCCCATCCTCTTCCCACAGAAGCGCCTCCTCTTCCTCCCGCAGCGCCCAGTCATCCCCCCCCTCCACTGCATGACTGCTGTTCGCCACTACCAGTGCCACACTCGGCTGTGCTCCACACTCCGCTGCCTGCTCCTCCTCGCCCTCCTTGCCCTTCCCTCCCCCCATCCCCCCCTTCCCCTTCCCTCCCACCATCCCTCCCCTTATCCCTTCCCCGCCCTGCTGGCGGCTTGCCTGCCAGAGCGTGGTGGCGGAGGCGTGCATGAGGGGGCGGTGCACGAAGCACGCGAGGTCCCACAGCTCCAGGGTGCTGTTCTGCAGGGGCGTGCCTGTCAGCAGCACGCGCCGCTTGCTGTGAATGCGGTCCAACGCCTGGTGCAGGGCAGGGGGAGGTAGGGGGATTCGGGGCAGGGGAGGGAGAAGGGGGGGGAAGGGTCAAATTGTCAGCAGAAAGCAGAAAGAGCAAGGTGGGGAGTGGGGAGACGAGGGAAGGAGAGTGAATGGAGGGAACACGGATGAGAGCCCTGGGGAATCATTTATTTCAGGCTGACGATTGTCTGGACACAGGTGGCGAAGGGTTAGGCCAGGATTAGACCAGGGTATGAAGCGGTGGTGGGAACTAGGGCTGTGAGGAATGGGGGTGGAGAGGTGGGGAGCGCACCTTGTGGATGGCAGTGGCGGGCGTCTTGATGAGGTGCGCCTCATCGCAAACCAGTACGTCCGTCGCCTCCACCACTGCCCCCCGCAGCACCTCCCTCGCACTCCCCCGGCACACCGTGCGCCCCAGCAGCCCGTAGCTCGTCAGCAGCACGCCTCCCTTCTGCACCCACTGCCGCACCACCTTCTCCTGAGTCTCCTCTCTCTGCCTCGCGTCCACGGCACCCAGCCATATGTGTGCTCTGTGCCCCTGCGGCACCCACTTGTCGAACTCCCCCCACCACACGTCCACTATCGACACCTCCGTCACCAACAGCACCCGCGGCCGCACCACAATATTTGACTGCGCCGTTGGCGGCCCAGCACGCGCAGCACTGCGCGCGGCTCCTGGTGTTGCTGCTACCTGCTGGGGTCCACAGCACACGTGGTGTGTGGCGAGCAGGCGGTCGATAAACGCAATGGCGGTGAGCGACTTGCCTGTGCCGGGTGCGTGCGCCAGAATGCAACCCCCTGGGATGCTGCGATCCCATGCGATCAAGTCTTGGCTCCCCGCGCCACAGCGCTCGTGCAGAGAAGAAGAGGCGGAGGCACGAGCAGCGTTGGGAGGAGCAGCCACAGCCGCGGCAGCGACAGCGGCGGCATGAGCGGGAGCGGCAACGAGGTTGTGCCAGATGAATTTGAATCCTTGTAGCTGGTGGGAGAGCATGGGCTTCAGAAGAAAGCGCGAAGGCAGCTCCGAGTGCGCGTAGCTGCCAGGTGCATGCGATGCAGGGGCAGGGGGGGGGTGGTGCTGCAACGACTGCAAGGCACTGGAAGAGGCCCACGTGGGCGGGATCCATGGCAGGGCGGGCACGCTTGTCCTACCGGTAACCATCCGCTCGTTCTCTCTCTCCCTCTCCCGCTCCCGCGCCCTCTCATCCTCCGCGATATCGGCTTCCATCGGCGGGCGTGATATCTGTCCCTGCGAGCGCATGAGGCTCACCTGACGTGATGGCTCCCTCACGATCACGCGTGCCTGCCGCAAGGCAAGCGAGGGAGAGAGGGCAGATGGGGGACGGGAGGGGAGGGGAAGAGCGGAGGAGTGGAGTGATTAATGAGAATGAGTGCACATAGAAAGCATGGTGGCGTGAGGGATGCATGAACGGTGATGTGTGGGATGGGTACAGAGCTGGCAGAGAGTGGTGAGTGCCGGAGGGGATACGTAGAATACTGGACTACAGAGCGCGTCGTCCACCCCCACCCCAGAGCGCGCCCCTGGACTCACAGAGGGGATCTCTGCAAGTGTGCGGAGGGTGAGGCCGCACTTTCGGCACACCTCCCCCTCCACCGGATCATCTTCCGCCTCGTGCACCCCGCCCTGCCAACATGCCCCCATGCGCCGCCACTGTTGCTGCTGCTGCTGCCGCCACTGTAGCTGCTGCTGCTGCTGTTGCTGCTGCTGCCACTGTTGGTGCGGCTGCTGCTGAGTTCTCGCAACAAGAGCATTGTTCCTAATGCGGGCTGCACGCTCACTGGGGTCAGCCCCCTCAGCGTCACTATCACACATGCTGCCATCGCTTCCACTGCTGTCATCACTGCCACTGCTGCCATTGCTGTCACTGTCTCCAGTGCGACCGCTGCTGCTAGTGTCATCCTTGCCATTCCCATGGCTGTCAACCCTGGGAGAGCAGACACAACTGCCCTCAACCGCACTATGACTGCACTCCCGACGAGCACCACCCTCACCTCTGTCCCCTCTATTGACAGTCACGCTTCTCGGATCAGCCAGCACCCTTTGCACCATCCACGCCGCCACACCTGACCCCACTGCCCCCTTCCCTTTCTCCTTCAACCCTGCCTCCTCTCTCCTCCTCCTCCTCCCTCCGCGTGCCGTCCTCCCAGCCCCAGCAGGGATGGAAGAGCCATCACGGAAACGGGGAGCAGAGGGTGCGGGGGGGAGGAGCAGGGGGCTGGGTGAATCATCGCAGGGAGGCGCATGCGCAAGAGGGGAGGGGGTGCAGGGAGCAAGGCTGGTGTCAGCGGGAGGAACCAGCGCCAACGCCCACTGCTGCTCCTTGCCCTTGTGTACCCCACGTAAGTCGTTTCTCTCCACCTCGCTCTGCGCCCCCCCTTTCTCCACCCCCTCTTCCACCCGCTCCGTTGCTCCGTTCACTGCCTTGCCCTCTTCGCCTCGCCTCACCACGCCTACCCCCTGTAGCAACTCACGTGCGATAGTAGCAGCACCATCAGCATAAGAGTCAGCAGCATCATCATCATCATCATCATCATCATCATCATCAGCATCAGCATCAGCATCAGCATCAGCATCATCATCATCATCATCATCATCAGCATCAGCATCATCATCAGCATCAGCATCAGCGAAAGAATGCGCATCAGCTTCATCCGCACCTTCGGCACCATCGGCATCAGCAGCATCGGCATGAGATCCAGAGTGTGCAGGAGGTGGCGAGGGCGGCAGCTGCAGCACAGGGCTTGACGCCCCGTCCATGTCCGCGTGCCCAGGTTCCCCTTGCGAATCCACAGAGGTAAGATCCCAGGGGTCGTCGCCCTGCCCTGGCTCTTCCTCCGCCCCATCATCCAACGCAGGACAGCACACAGCAGCAACGATCGCTGTGCTGGCCGCTCCCACCTGGGCAGCACCGTTGCCCACGGCACCATCTGTGGGATAAGGCTCCCCTCCCCTGCTACCATCATCACTTGCTTGTGTGTCGTCCCCACGCACCTCCCCCCCACCCACGGCGCTGCTCACTCGCCGCCTCTTTCTCCCCCCTGCAGCTGCTTGGTTCAATGGAGGGGCACGGGAAGGGGCAGGAGAAATAGGCAAGCGATGGTGCGCTAGAGCTAGCCTCGAGCGGCTTCGCGTTTGCATGTGAAACCCACTGGGAGCTTCGTGGTTGAATGGGACCACGTTTGGCTTGTCCCTCCCTTCCCCTTCCTCTGTTCCCTCCTCGTCGTCCTCCCCATTACCCCCCCATCTACTTCCTCTGCCTCCCTCTCCCCGTCCTCCTCCTTGACCTCACCTTGCCCCTCGCCCCCATTCCTGTCGCCCCCATTCCTGTCGCCCCCATGCGCAACACCACGAATCCCCTTCCTCCCTCTTCCACCCTCTACCCTCGTTACCCACTCCACCATCTCTTTGCCTTCCCCATGCCCTCTTTTCCTCACTACCTTCTTTTCACCCCCCAGCTCTCCTTGTCCCTCCCCCCCCACCTCCCCCTCCTCGTCTCTATTCCCCGACCACCAGTAGTGTCCGTTAATCCCCCAGTCCTCCTCGTTCCACGGCCCATCCCACTCAAACCCCTCCCTCCTCTCCCTGCTCCACAGGTACCTCCGCAGCAGCACGCGCAGCGGCACCAGCGCACGCACGCGCACGCACAGCTCGCCAATGCGCACATACACGGTGCGCGCACCCTCCGTGCTGCCAGCACCGTTTCCCTTCACATACCCGCTGAGCGGTTGCAGCAAGCGGCAGCGCAGAGGGGGGCCGGAGGGAGTGGGGACGGAGCAGTGAGAGGGGGCTGTGAAGCGGCGAGAGGGCGGCGGGTAGGCAGCCTCTGGGTGCTGCAGGAGGTGCAGGCCGAAGGAGCATTCGCAGGGGCCGGAGGGGGGATGGCGCAGGCGCTTAATGCGCACCACACGCGCATCGTAGTGGGCCTGCCGCAGGGGGAGGCACAGGGGAGGGATGGAGATGGTGGGAACTGTACCAAGCGGTGTAAAGTGAGGAGACACATGGCCTACATCACGGATGGGAGGGCACATGACTAGGACGGTGGGAGAGAAACGGGAGGGAGAATGGGGACGGGGAGGGGAGGAAAGGAAGAGACAACAAGGTGAGGAATCCAAGCCTTCCTCCCCATCGCCCATGTCCCTGCTGCTTCGCCCCCAAGCCCCTACCCCCTCGCGTCATCGTAATTAGCATCACCTGTCCTTGCACGCAGGGGTCGCCGTCGGGGTGCTTGAGGAACGCCAGCAGCACCATGCCCTCGCGCACGCGCGCGCAGTCCGCGCTCTCCAGCGCGCGCGACCGCAGGCGCAGGCGCTGCAGCGGCACGTCCTCGTTGTCCCGCGCCGTGGACTCCAGGTAGCGCACCAAGTACGTCTCCCGCCACCGCGCCGGCCACGCCGGGGATGCGAACGGCGGGTACAGCGCTGCTCCGCCCGCTGCTGCTGCTGCCTCTCCTTCCTCCTCCTCGTCTTCCTTGCTGGTACTATCCAACTTCATTCTGCGTTCTGCTTCGTCCGCTCTGTCCCTCCCCTCTTGCCTTCCATCCGTAGCCTCTCTTCTGCAACCCTTCTTCTCAACCAAGCTCCAACTCCAAACAACCAACTCATTGCTCCCCTCCTGCACCTTCCCTTCACCTCCACCCAACAGATCCCCTCTCCCGCCCATGCCCCGACTATCAATCACGCCTTGCTTCATCTCTCTCCTCCACCTCCTCTCCTCGCCCACCCCAATCAAGTCCCCCAAACGCACCAGCTGAACATCCCCCTCGCTTCTCCCACCACCCCGCTTCCCCCTCCTCGCCTGCACAGCACGCCTCGCATTCCGCCCCTTGTGCTCTCCCTCCCAGCACAGCGCGGGGAGGGGGGAGGGGGCAGCGAGTGCGGGGGGGAGCGGGGGCGGGTGCAGGGCGACAGTGGAGCCGAGGCGTAGGATGCGCACGTCCCACACGGTGCCTCTGAAGTACGCCTCGAACTCTGGGGTGTGGCGCGGTGGGGAGGATGGGGGAGAGGATGGCAAGGGAAAGAGGCGAGGGGGGAAGGGGGACAGAGAGGGCAGAGAGGGGGAGGGGAGGGTGGGGAACAGAGAAGATGAGAGCGGAATGGGGATGGAGTGAGAGGGAGAAGAGACGGGGAAGATGGGGGGAAAGACGCGAGATAAGACCAACATTGTGAATAAGAGCATCGTGTTGCTTCTTGCATCCTGTGACACCTTTCCCCCTTTGCAGTGCCACGCTTCACGCCACTGCTAGATTGGCAACCACAAGGTGGGTTCTGGAAACAACATGCACGCGAACCCCACTAGTACATGAACCCTCTGTGCATGTGTACATACGAGCGCGCACATGTGCACACGAGCGAGCATATAATGCAGGAGCACGCCCACCTTGGTCGGACTTCACTTTGCTCTTTCTCAAGTCGCAACCCCCATCCAATCATAAACAGTTACACACATGTGAAACACATCTCACATACAGCTATGCAGTGATTCACCGTCTACGTAGATGTGTACGTATGCGTGTGCGTGTGCATGTGTGCACGCGTGTGTGCATGCCCGTGTGTGTGCATGCCCGTGTGTGTGCATGCATGCATGTGCGTGTGTGCATGCATGCATGTGGATGTTGTGCACGCCATGGCTGCACCATCACGCATGTCAGTGCATGTCCACACCGCATCTCACCCGGTTCCTCCTGCTGTCTCTCCTCCAACCCTCCTAGCCTGCTCCGCGCACCTCTCCCGCTTTTCCCTCTCGCTGCCACCCCCACCTCTCCCCCCCCACCTGCCGCTGATCTTCCTCCCTTTCTAACTCTCCCCCCTCCTCCTGCCTTCGATCTCCCCTTCCCTTGCCTCGCTTTTCCCCTCCCGTGCCTCCCTGTCTTCCCCCCCGCGTAATCACACGCACCATACCCCCCCTTATCGCCCACATCCCTCTCCTCGCCACCCACTCCCCCCTGCTCCTCCTCCTTCCTCCCACGTCCCATCGCCCCCGCTGGTTCCTCCCCCACTCCGCCTCCCTCTCCAACCCCCCCCTCACCCCCCTCCTCCCACCTACCCCTCTTCTGCCTCCTCCCCTTCGCCCCTCTCTTCTCCACGCCACTCACTGGCCCTCACCACCGGGAGAAACCACGGAGGGCAAGGGGATAGAGAAAGAGGGCAAGGGGAGAGAGAAAGTGGGCAAGGGGATAGAGAAAGAGGGCAAGGGGAGAGAGAAAGAGGGCAAGGGGATAGAGAAAGAGGGCAAGGGGAGAGAGAAAGAGGGCAAGGGGAGAGAGAAAGAGGGCAAGGGGAGAGAGAAAGAGGGCAAGGGGAGAGAGAAAGAGGGGAAACGGGAAAGGCAAGACGGAGGGGAAGAACGAGGCACGGGAATCATGTGAATAAAAGGCATTGGCGTGCTCCTTGCCCTTTGAAATTATTTCCCGTCCGTCACTGGCAACTAATTCTTATGCATGGTCATGCTTGATGGGCTTGTTAGATCGGCAACGCCAGGAAGAACCACAAGTCACCAATGGCAAACCACGTTAATGCGTGTGTACACATGTGCTCGTGCACATGCGCAGTGTGGGAGGGGGGCGGGGGTCGGAGGGGAGGTGGGGGTGTTGGGGGGGGGAGAGACTGTGCATGGGGTGGTGGTTGATGATGTCTGTGTTCATGCAACCAAGTGTTTGTGGATGCACGAAAGCACGCACGTCTGTTTCTGTGCAAGCATGGCACCGACAATTTGCACATGCATGCGCACACCGCATCTCACCAGGTTCCTCCTGCCGTTTCTCTGCCAATCCTCCACGCTTGCTCCGCCCACCTCTCCCCCTTTTCCCTCTCGCGGCCGTTCCAACCACCTCTCCCTTGTCTCCCCCTCCACCCACCGCCGATGCTCCTCCTTTCCTCCCCCTCCCCTCTCCTCCCCGCACTCTCCCTCCCCCTCGCCTCGTTCTCCCCTCGCCGTCACTGGCTTTCGCCGTCCCCGCGTCATCATCGGCACCCTCCGTTACCTCATCCGCCCACTCAACTCCATCCACCTCCATCTCCCCTTCCGCCTCACCCCTCTTCCGCTTCCTCCCCTCACCCGTCTTCCGCCTCCTCCCCTCCGCCCCTCCCTTCTCCGCACCACCCATGGGACCTCTCTCACTCACTTCCATAACGCAACTCACTCACACACGGTGATCCCCCCTCCCGAATTCGCTCACAACTCCCCTCTTCCGCACTGCCCCTTCCGTCCACTCCCGTTCCCGTGCCCACACTCCCGCCCTCCCCTCCCCCCGTGCCACCCACGGAACTATTCCTCTCGCCTACCGAAGCCGCCAGGCCGCTAATGCGCGGCAAGCCCAGGTATAATCGCCCGGTGGGGCGAATCTGGATGGCGGCACGCGCGCGGTTGTGGGCGCGGGAGGGCGGTGGGAGGGAAGCGCTGGTCGACGACAGCGCCCTAAGGGCGCCGAATCACTCGGTGGCACCGCCCGTGCTGCGAAGAGAGCGGGGTGAGAGGCGCCAGAGCGGAGAGCGGCGATTGCTCCGGGCATGGGACGGCTGGAAGTCGTTCCTTCCTGGGCTGTGCTGCGCTTGGCTAGGATGAGACTCCGCAATGCTGGATTGACAAATTCGCGGGCGTTTTCGGCGTGTGCATGCGGGGGATTTCTGGAGTCGTTATAAGAGTGCCCCGGATTGTGTTTACCCCTACACTCGTCCCGTAATTTCCAGCTCTATGGTACCTGTCAGAGCAGCAACTTGTACCATATCAAAAACTACAGTAATAAGACAACCTTTTTTCCCCATTCCTTAGTCCATTTCTCACAAGATGTAGGCCTCCAACTCCACCACGCATGGTCAGCCGTATAATGCATCAGAGAGTTATCTGGTGCCTTGAGAATGCACTGTGTTGAGGAAATCTTGCGAGGTGTATACATGGGATGGGATGGGACGCTCATACCGATCATCCCCACAAGCAAATAGCAGAGCCCATGCAACTGTGAATCATCCGTGATAAGCACATCAATCACTGTAGCAGCGCATCCCCTCCCTGCCAGGCATCCACCCAGAGGCAGGTGCGATGAGAGCCCGTTGCCCAACGTGGAACATGGTACCCGTGTCTGAATACGGTATCTACTTGGAGCGCGAGAGCACGAGTTGCGTGAGCTGCACGAGGCCCAGGCGGCACCTGTGCGCGTACTCCGTGTGGGCGGGCGGCATGGCCTGCACTGCCCGCACCGCTAGCGCGCAGTGCTCCGCTGCCAGCGCCTTGGTGCGCGCCACACCCCCACTCTGCTCCACCCATGCCACCGCCTGTTGGGGGAGCAGGGAACGGCGAGGCGGGGGGAGAAGAGAGCTGATTGAAATATGGCATGCGGTGGGCGGTGCATGCAAGCATGAGAGTGAGTGTGCTCGTGCTGGGCAATGCTGGGTTTGAGCGCCGCTGCCAACAGCAGCAGCAGCAGCAGCCGCAGCCGCCGCCGCCGCCACAGCAGCAGCCGCAGCCACAGCCGCAGCAGCAGATCATGCCCACGCCCCATGTCGCCCATGGCAAGCCTCCCTCCTATGTCCTACACGCCCATGTCCACACTCGGTAAGCCTAAGGACGTGTGCGATGTTACAATTTTGTCAAAAGTTTGTACTGCCACCACTCAGTCCCATGGTTTTGTTTGACTGCACCCTACCAGAACGTTTTTAACCTCTCTAGAAGGTGTAACTGGAGGCTTGAACGAGCCCCATCTCACATGCCCTAACACCCCCGCATCCCACCTCCTTCCCATGCCTATCCTGCCTTCCCCCCATCCCACATTCCCCCCCCATCCCACCTTCCCCCCATCCCACATCCCCCCCACCTGCTGCACGTCCCCTGGCTGCGAAAACTTGCGGTCCATGAGGCGGTGCATGCCAGGGTGGCTCTCCGCCGCAAACAGCACTGGTGCTGTCACCAGACCCTGGGGGAAAGGGCGGGGGGAGGGAGAGTGGCGAGGAGAAGGCAACAAGGGGCATAAGATGAGATGAGATGAGGGGATGTCAAAAGAGGACAGGTAGGGCAGGGGCTCTGCACAATGCTTGCCAGTGCTGGGATGTGGGGTGTGCTGGGGTGGTGTGGTGGGGTGGTGCGCTGGGTGCCATGCAGACCTGTGTGATGTCATTGAGGGCGGGCTTGCCCAGGGAGGCAAGCGATCCCGTGAAGTCAAGAGCGTCGTCCACCAGCTGAAACGCCAGGCCCTGCGCACGGCAGGGGGGGGCAGCGGGGGGTGAATGAGTGGAAATGTGAGGGCATGAGAGGAAGGAACAGACACGAGCAGGATACAGAGAAAGAGGGAGAGAGAGAGAGGAAATAGATGCATGGTAAGGGTATCAACATTCCGGTAGGGAGAGGGCAGGAGGAGAGGCTGGGAGCGGCGACGGACGAGGTGTTGGCCGTAGTCGTAGGCGAGCTGCGCGGTGGCGGCGTCATGGCCGCCCAGCACGGCCACGGCCTTGCAGCTGTTAGCGATCAGCGACGCCGTCTTGAGAAACGTCTTGCGCATGTAGTAGTCCATGCTGGCAGATGGAGGGCGGAGGGGGAGGGAGGGGGTCGGTGTTGGTGGGTGGTGGGGTGGGCAGACAGGACAGAGGCGTGCATACAGGTGAGAAGGGTGATGTTGAGGATTGGGTGACGGGTGGGGGGATGGGATGTGCATGGATATGCAATGAGTTGAGTGCTGCTCTCTCCCACTATACCACACCTGCTGCACTGCCCCCTCCCCCCCCAACCTGCTGCACCGCCCCCTCCCCTCCCCACCTGCTGCACTGCCCTCTCCCCCCCCCTCACCCCACCTGCTGCACTGCGTGGGTTCGGCGGTCATTTGCATGACCTCGCCCCCCACGAGGTGCTCGAGCACGGCGGACAGCAGCTCCACCACCTCCGTGTTGCGCAGCCCCGCCAGCGCCGCCGACGCGCGCGCTAGCAGGAAGTCGCCCGCCAGCACCGCCAGCTGGGAGGAGGGGGGAGGGGTCGGGGGGGTGCGGCGGGAGGAGGTTGAGAGGAGGTTGGGCGAAGAAGGGGAGACGGGACGGGAGAGGGGATAAGGTTGGATATGTGGTGATGAGCCGCAAAGGGGACGGCGACGCAGGGGGGAAAGAAAGAGGTTCGGGCGCGAGGGGAGGGAGGGGGGGGGAGAGCACGAGAAAAAAATCCAAGGTTCTACAGAACGTGCATTTCATAAGGCAGACACGCAAGGGCAATTGGCGGCAGGGAGAGGGTGGTATGGATGGATGAGGCAGGGCAACGCGCAGCACCTTGTTGCCCATCATGTAGTTGAGCGAGGAGACCCCTCGCCGCGTGTCAGCATGGTCCAACACATCGTCATGCAACAGACTCGCCACCTGGTGGCGTGCCATGCCATGCCACACACATGCACATGGGCATGGACATGCCATACCATGATGCACACGCACGGACATGCGCACACACGAACGGATGGCCATGCACTCATGCCCGCACGCACACGCACAGAGTCACATGACATCACAGACGGGAAGAAGGGAGAGAGAAATGATTCTCTGTACCACCACGGGTGCTCAACCAGTAGCTGTGCAGGCGAGACAGGGGGGGGGGGGAGTTGAAGTGCCCCAGGGCATCTTGCAGGGGCAATGCATGGGGCGACGAGGAGCGCAACCACCATGCACTGCACAATTGCAGCATGCAGGGAGGAGAGCATGCCAAGAACAACCAGACACACATAAACACATACATGGATCATTTCCGTGATCTCCGCTATTCGCCGCTGCCTCTCCTTCCTCTCCTCCGCAGTAAACGCCTCTCCCACCGGTACCTCCCCCACAGCCATGCCTTCTATCCCTGGCAGCGCCACTGCGGGCGCACACTGGACGCGCTCCAAAGAAGAAGCCATGAGGAGAATGACCTGGGGGGCGAAGGGCGGGAGGGAGGGGGGAGGAAAGGGTGTCAGCAGTAAGGGGATTGGATGAGGAGGTGGGGGGGGGGAAGGGAGGGAGAGATGGATGAGGGGAGGCAGCGAGGGAGGGAGGAGAGAGAAGAGTTGGCCTGAACACAGGAGAGGGGCACGGCCACAGGGCAGGGCCGTGACGAGAGGAATGCAGGGGAAGAACACGAAGAGCAAGAATCACAGATAGGGTGCAGCACACATGCAGCGCATGCACTTTCAAGTCAAGTGCAGAGTGACTGTGAGTGCAAGGAAGGGAGCAGGGTGTGAGGGAGCTGACAGTGGGTCGGAATCGCTTGCCCGTGGCGCCCACTCTGAAGAAGTAGTCAGCTGCCGTGGCTAGCTTGGGGATCTGCGGTGTGCACGTGGACATGTGAGGCAACGGGATTACAGCACATGCGCAGCACACGAGTCGATTGGCCACAGTACGCAGGCACGGCACTAGAACGCCACAAGCAGTGTAAAACTGCATGGACGAGGGAGCCTGATTATGAGGCGCCTCAAAAACAGCATGGACGAGGGAGCCTGATTATGAGGCGCCTCAAAAACAGCATGGACGAGGGAGCCTGATTATGAGGCGCCTCAAAAACAGCATGGACGAGGGAGCCTGATTATGAGGCGCCTCAAAAACAGCATGGACGAGGGAGCCTGATTATGAGGCGCCTCAAAAACAGCATGGACGAGGGAGCCTGATTATGAGGCGCCTCAAAAACAGCATGGACGAGGGAGCCTGATTATGAGGCGCCTCAAAAAACAGCATGGACGAGGGAGCCTGATTATGAGGCGCCTCAAAAACAGCATGGACGAGGGAGCCTGATTATGAGGCGCCTCAAAAACAGCATGGACGAGGGAGCCTGATTATGAGGCGCCTCAAAAACAGCATGGACGAGGGAGCCTGATTATGAGGCGCCTCAAAAACAGCATGGACGAGGGAGCCTGATTATGAGGCGCCTCAAAAACAGCATGGACGAGGGAGCCTGATTATGAGGCGCCTCAAAAACAGCATGGACGAGGGAGCCTGATTATGAGGCGCCTCAAAAACAGCATGGACGAGGGAGCCTGATTATGAGGCGCCTCAAAAACAGCATGGACGAGGAGCCTATTATGAGGCCTCAAAACAGCATGGACGAGGGAGCCTGATTATGAGGCGCCTCAAAAACAGCATGGACGAGGGAGCCTGATTATGAGGCGCCTCAAAAACAGCATGGACGAGGGAGCCTGATTATGAGGCGCCTCAAAAACAGCATGGACGAGGGAGCCTGATTATGAGGCGCCTCAAAAACAGCATGGACGAGGGAGCCTGATTATGAGGCGCCTCAAAAACAGCATGGACGAGGGAGCCTGATTATGAGGCGCCTCAAAAACAGCATGGACGAGGGAGCCTGATTATGAGGCGCCTCAAAAACAGCATGGACGAGGGAGCCTGATTATGAGGCGCCTCAAAAACAGCATGGACGAGGGAGCCTGATTATGAGGCGCCTCAAAAACAGCATGGACGAGGGAGCCTGATTATGAGGCGCCTCAAAAACAGCATGGACGAGGGAGCCTGATTATGAGGCGCCTCAAAAACAGCATGGACGAGGGAGCCTGATTATGAGGCGCCTCAAAAACAGCATGGACGAGGGAGCCTGATTATGAGGCGCCTCAAAAAACAGCATGGACGAGGGAGCCTGATTATGAGGCGCCTCAAAAACAGCATGGACGAGGGAGCCTGATTATGAGGCGCCTCAAAAACAGCATGGACGAGGGAGCCTGATTATGAGGCGCCTCAAAAACAGCATGGACGAGGGAGCCTGATTATGAGGCGCCTCAAAAACAGCATGGACGAGGGAGCCTGATTATGAGGCGCCCTCAAAAACAGCATGGACGAGGGAGCCTGATTATGAGGCGCCTCAAAAACAGCATGGACGAGGGAGCCTGATTATGAGGCGCCTCAAAAACAGCATGGACGAGGGAGCCTGATTATGAGGCGCCTCAAAAAACAGCATGGACGAGGGAGCCTGATTATGAGGCGCCTCAAAAACAGCATGGACGAGGGAGCCTGATTATGAGGCGCCTCAAAAACAGCATGGACGAGGGAGCCTGATTATGAGGCGCCTCAAAAACAGCATGGACGAGGGAGCCTGATTATGAGGCGCCTCAAAAAACAGCATGGACGAGGGAGCCTGATTATGAGGCGCCTCAAAAACAGCATGGACGAGGGAGCCTGATTATGAGGCGCCTCAAAAACAGCATGGACGAGGGAGCCTGATTATGAGGCGCCTCAAAAACAGCATGGACGAGGGAGCCTGATTATGAGGCGCCTCAAAAACAGCATGGACGAGGGAGCCTGATTATGAGGCGCCTCAAAAACAGCATGGACGAGGGAGCCTGATTATGAGGCGCCTCAAAAACAGCATGGACGAGGGAGCCTGATTATGAGGCGCCTCAAAAACAGCATGGACGAGGGAGCCTGATTATGAGGCGCCTCAAAAACAGCATGGACGAGGGAGCCTGATTATGAGGCGCCTCAAAAACAGCATGGACGAGGGAGCCTGGAGGTCCATGTCTGAGAGCAACGGGTCATCAAAGTGAGCGGGGGGCAGTGAACGGGTCATCAGAGTGGGTTTTTAGGGTTTAGTCTTTTCACGTGCGAGGGCAGTGGGGGTGGTTACCTCGGAGAGGATCATGGCGCGCATTCTGTCTGCCAGGCCTGTGAGCTCGTCCGCCACCAGGGAGAAGGGGTCCACTGGCCCCACCTGCTGCCGCACAGCCACATGCAGGGAGGCCATGGGAGGCCATGGGAGGGGATGGGAGGGGATGGGAGGGGATAGAAGGGGTTGGTGGGGGTTGGGAGGGGTTGGGGGCGAATGGGAGGGGATAGGAGGGGATGGGTGGGGAGGCGAGACACAGGGGATGGGAAGAATGAGGTTGACAGTGCATGTGTGGCCCTCCGGTCGTTATGTCCCGACCACCATTGCATGCATGCAAAAGATCCATTTGCAGCCACGCATGCTCATGTGTGCGCTGATGGCCTCACATGCAGTGACGCCATCACCCCCCATGCAATCATGCGGCGCCACGCACTCATCCACACGTACACATGCACACGAGTAGCACAGGCACAAAAAACCCTCATGTGCCTATCTCCCCCCATGCAACTCTCTTCCCCCATGCGCCTCTCTTCCCCCGCGCCCCTCACCTCCTCATACTTGCTGGCCGCCTGGGAGCCGTCCGTGCTGGCAGCAGAGTGATAGGCGCTGGAGAGCTGTGGGCGAAGGGGTGGAGACGAGAGAGCAGCGCAGTGCAGGCGTGGTGTGGTGTGAGAGAGACATGCTGTAAACGAATGGGCTCATGGGCGAGTTCAAGACACGCATGGCGTGCATGAGTGTTGCGAGCAGTGCAACACTCCTGGACTGTCTGTACCAACACACACGTATGGTGCATGTCAGGTGCACGGAGCAAGGCGTGTCACGCGTGTACGGTGCGAATACTAATCGGTACTGCACGGTCGGGTGCGCAATGCAAAAGGTGACGTTCGAGCATGAGGACCTGGTGAAGTTGGTGCTTCCCCGCTGCTGCTGCTGCTCGCGGGGCTGACGGGCACACGGATAACAGACGCGAGAAGGGAAGGAGGGGGGGGGGAGTGTGGAAATAGAGGTCAAGTGTGGAAAGGGAGAGTGACTGTGGAAAGGGAGAGTGATTGTGGGAAGGGAGAGTGAGTGTAGGGAGGGAGGGTGATTGTGGGGAGGGAAGGTGAGTGTGGGGAGGGAGGGTGATTGTAAGCATGAGAAGGGAGGATGAGTGAGGGAAGGGAGCGAGGGAAAGCGTGTGAAAGAAGGGTAATGAAGGACGGGAGGGCGAGTTTGGGTATGAGGGCAAGGGTGAGGATTGAAGGACAAGCCGCACGCATTGCATCCCCATGGCCATGCCCCTAGCACCACGGCCGCCACTCTACTTAGAGCCTATGATATGCATGCCACGCACCGTGAAAAGGTGAGCTGCCCCGCCACGTGTCAGTAGGTAATTGGAATGGCGCGCAGGCAGGCCTTGGTGCATGGGGCGCGGGGAGGCGGAGGGCGGACGAGTGAGGGGCGAGCTGGCAGCTCCAGGCGGCGGGAACGGAACGGCGGAGCGGAGAGAGCTGGGCGGAGGCGCGCAGATGCGGTAAGATGGGCGCGGAATGGAGAGCGGAGGAGCGATGGTGGTGGTGGTGCTGTGGCGGGAGGGTATGAAGTGAACGCGGCGATAGCGTCGTTAAACGGCTGTAATGGCTCCCGTGAAGCGGACTAGGAGTGAGTGCGAGCGCCGCTGCTGCCGCACTGCTGCACGCGGCTAGCCCCTCGTCGGCACTAACGCCCGCTGACCGCCGCGCGACCCACGGTGCGTCCCTCCACGCACCGCCGCACGAGGAAACCACTTGCCGATCGTCCACGCCTGACGACGCCGACGCGACGCAGCTGATCGGCGCGGGAGCAGACGCGATCTCCATGGGACCTGGGGTTAGGGGTGAAGGACGGGGAGGGAAGACGACACACGGAATCAGGCGGCGGTGTTACGATCAGATCGCACGACGATCGAGCCACGAGCACGGCAGCATGCGAATCAGCGGCCGTCGAGGGAACGAGAATCCAGAACGGGAATGCGACGCGGCGAAATGGTCTAGGGCGAAGGCGGGAGGTGCGAGACAAGAGCGAGATGCAGCGGCGCGACCTTACTGGCGCTGGTGCCCGCCGCGTCGCACGGCAGCAGCCCCGTACCGCCGCCATCCAGCCCCGATCCGCGCCTCGCGATCTGATCGTGCGAGCCGGCTGCCAGCAGATCCGTGCTGTAGCCGGCGCAGATCCGGCCCACCACGTGGCACGGCGCCGGTAGCCGTGAGACGGCGCGCGAGCGAGCCTGGTGAAGCATGGGTGCGGAATGGCGCGCCGAGCGGTAAGCGAGGGGATGCGACGTGAAGGGTGGGATGGGGAAGCGGCGCGTGCTGTGCACGAGCACTCCTGCTAGTCCCCAACCAAGCTGTGCGAGGCCGTGCTTTCTTGAGCAGAACACAACCTCAAAGGGTGACTTTTTACTCGTTCCAGAGATTGTTCCCTAACGCGTACACACGCGGTTGCCAGGTTTGCGGGGGGAGTACACCCTGTGGGAGGGAGGGGGCATGTGCTTTGGTTTCGCGGACTCTCCCCTGGTCCCGAGGGCGGACCCCTGAATTCCCCTTTTGACTCGAACTAGTTTGTGCAGCCTGGCTTTGAAAAACTGCGAACGCGAAACGAGAGTGGGAAACGGCACCCAAATTGCAGTCCCACTAGCAACCCCTCCAAACGTCCCACCCCTTTTCGGAATATGGTCGCTCAACGACGCGCTACCGCACGGAGCCACACCCCGGCTCCAGCTCGCTTTCTGAACCAGCCATCCTAGCACCCGCTACGACTACCGTCCTGCCATAATAATAGGACGTGAAATATTGGAATACTTTCAACTTGAGACAAAGATATTTCGGCCAACTGAAAAACCTTCGAGCCTCCACCCTCCTCTCTTCTGCAACACCACCCAGGAACTACCAGCCCAGCCAGCTCGCTGTGTTCCCTCGAGAAGATCACAGCAGCCCATGTGGTCCCCCCTTAGCTCCCGAAGCCCCACTAAACCTAGAATTTTCCGTGCCAGCGAGGACACCTACTACCCTGCAATGGCGTTAGGAGAGGCTAGTCCGCGTGGCGAACAAGACCTGAATCAGACTCGAGGGACGCCAGGTCAGAACAGGAAAAGTGCATCCCCCGTGCCTGATTCCCATCGCGTGCCGCAGCACCCTCGCGATGGATCATTTGTTTCTTGGATCGCTGGTTTCCGCTTCACAGTCTAGATTTTCTCCGTGACACCACCGTCGCTCTCACCGTCCGCTTCCCCGCAGCCTCGTGCATCCACGCGCCATGGATCGGCTCCCTCCGCCGCTCGTCTACGCGATTCTGCGCCGCGTCGACCCGCCCGGGCCGCACATCGCGCGGATGGCATGCATGTCGACGCGGTACCGCGGCATGGCGGGGGACGTGCTGTGGCGCTGGCACTGCCGCGACGGCCTCTTCGCGTCGTTTGCGCGCGAAGACTCCAGGGATGACGCAGACGACGACGACGAGCCTCCTCCTAGCGCGGACGAGGCTCGGAAAATCGCGTTCGGGCGGCAGAAGCTGCAGCTGCAGGTGGCGCGGATGAGCAACGACGACGCCGCTGCGCTCGGGAGGCTGTTCAACATGTGCCCCGGCGTGACGCCCGCGCACCTGCGAGGTCGGGAGCACCGGACGGGGCCTAAGTACCGGCCGAGCAAGAGGCCGCCTCCGTGGGTGAAGGGCGTGGTGGAGAAGGACGACCGGCGCGCGCTGAGCAAACCGCACCGCGAGAACTTCGGGCCGACGACTTTCGAGCTGCAGTCGATTTATTGTGGCGAGCCCCCGGTGTTCCTTCTCCTGACGAAGTGCGACCGGCACTTCAGGAAAACGAAGATCGACACACCCTACTTTCTCATGCAAGGGTTCATCGTGGAGTTCCGAGATACGGAGTAAGATCCTCCCATCCATGCCGCACCCCTAATTTCAAAGCGCATCGGCTCCCGTAGTCCGTGTTTAGAGGCAACTGTATGCAGTCTCTGACTCCCTTTCAATCCCTCGCCAATCCGTAGCTGCTGACATATGTAGTCGCGCGCTTTGGCTTTATTCCACCCAAAAAGGATCCGGCGCTTGTTGCTACTCGCCCCACGTCCTCTCATAGGTCAACCTGGCTTTGTCTTCATCAGCAGCACCGTAGTCGGATGCTGGTGTTGCATTTAATACTCTTAACTGAGATTGTTGCCCCGTTTTAACAGGCTGTACGACGAATTTTCTGTATATCCTTTTATGGAGGATGAGGTCTGTCCTTACTGCTCCTCCCAGGTATGTGTCGTGCCTTTGCCAAGCACTAGGGAACTTTTTGGAAGAAATGCCTTTTCCCGTTTTCATTTAAATTGAGGAACAGCGTTTTGAGGATTGATTTGTGTTTGGCAGGTTTGGGACGGTTGTGAGGTACAGATGCTGTTCAAGATGACCTATGATTCCTTCCTTACCTTCAATCCGCAAATCAATGTCATTATCCCAACCAGTGTCCACTGTGTTTGCACTAAGGTATATCCCCCCCTCCCCGCCCCCTCCACTTTCCCCTCTTCGTCCTCTTACATTCACACACTGTTTTTAGACCTGTATCTTTCTAAGCCTTTTTTTTGCCAAATTTCTAGGGACACTGGTATGGCCTTCATAGGTACGAAGAGAGTGAAGGGGGCAACGAGAAGGACAGCAAGCGCGACAACGATGATGGTGGCAGCAAGAGAGGGAAAGGAGGAGGAAGAGGAGGGGGACGAGGTGGTGGGGGAGGGCGAGGAGGCTGGTGGGGGGTAGGAAAGAAATGGGAAGGAAGAGGGAAAGTGTGGTGTTGACAAGCACATGGTCGATTGATTGCTTGTCAAGAAGTTTGGAGTGGATGCTGGGTGATGGTTTGGCTGAGTTGTTGGCTATGGAAATGGAAGGTGAATGGAATCTGCTATCAAAGTGAGAACTGAATGATTGAGTAGAGAGAGTACAGGTGAATATGCCTAAGTGTTGTACTCTCTTAGAGGTGACCTTTTACAGTCTATGCAAACATAGGAGATACACATGTTTGACACACCCCTGTCAAACATGTGTATTTGTCATGTTTGTATAGATTGTATAGGGTCGCCTCTTAGAGGGTACAAAACTTAGGTATATCTGTGTGTACTCTCACTCTATCATTATTCACTTCTCTAATTTGATATGGTATCAGAGCCAAAGGTCTTGGGTTCAACTCCCAGTGCCAGCGCTGCAGAGGCGCTCGTGTCTTCTGTTGAAAGTACATCAAAAGACTTAAGCGTTTCTGAAGTGTAACACTACACTCGAGGAAGATTGCAAGGGGTACGCGAGTCAACGGAAGTTACACGAGGGGGCGGACAAAGAACACGAA